ATCAAGTTTGAGTTCGCTATGGAATCCTACATAGGTGGCTTATTCAAGAGCATGGTCTTCAACGCAGCCGTTGATTTGACCATATTTGGTAAACGTCTTTACCTCGCGCTCGGCTTCTCATTGACCAACCCTATTGAGAGTTTACGMGGAGGAAGTAACAAAGCAACRAACTGGTACAAGGACAAGATGAATCCAAAAGGACGAACAGATACAGAGAAGGAATACTATGACAAACCAAATCCTTTTGCGGACTTTGAAATGTCTGGTAAGAGACTTAAGTAATCAAGGATTATATCCACTAAAACACAGTTAATGATAATGATGAATAATAATCGGTRKTTTTATAAAACRATTCATTCCTTGTTAGACACTATCAGGGCGCATCTACTCTTCGATATCATCTATATTCTTTTTAAAACYATATTCCAAGTCACATGCACATCCCTGAATTAAATCTGATTCGATCAAAATCCTCTCTGTCCAATAGTCTTCTTCACGGTTCCCTGCGCCATCTTGAAAGGTAGCCGTGCCTTTGCATCGAAGCGAGACGACCGTTGAGTTTGCAATGATAGAAACCTTCTTTCACACCTACAGACAATTATTCACAGATATCTATCATTGCACGCTCAAAGGTTTTCTCGCTTCGATGTCGTAAAGGCACGGCTGCTTTTCGAGATGGCGCAGGAAACCGTGAAGGAGACTATTACCACTGAAGTTCCCTATTTTGGAAAAGTACACTATATTCTTTGACATGCGTGTTCTTTTTGTTTTCAAGAGCAATTCTCAATCGAAAATCAGCAGGCAGCCACTGATGATCGCAAAGGGGGATGTCTTTTCGTGGAAAGCAAGAACAAGAACACATACGTTAAAGTTACTGGATGTAATGAAACTGACGAGAGACAGATATGGGCATATACTTTGAAAGGACAATTAATGGTTTGTATCATTATCATCATTATCATCATCATCATCATCATTATCACATCATCATCATTACCATCATCATCACCATCATCATCATTATCATCATTATCATCATTATCATTATCATCATCATCGTCATCAGCATCATTATCATTATCATTATTTTTTAGAATACCTGGACTCGTCTGTGTATCGACACCAATGGCGCTTCCGCCGGAAGTAAACTGATTCAAACCACTTGTAATCCAAGTCGAGACGACCAGAACTTCCAATGCGACTTGGTAGTCAGAACAGTAAAGAGACGACGTGTTGATATGTGCTGGCAAACAGGTAAGTTTATAATTGATGATCTCCTTGCGATTAATTTCTTACAATCCCATTGCATTGGATTTGATGCAATATCAAAGCGCACAGAAGACTATCCAGGGCATCGTCGCGCGTGCACAAGGAACGCCTGGTGGATTCAATGAAGGCACCATCCCATCATTCAGCACGCGCATTATTATTGTTGTCTAGAAGAAGAATTCGATAGTCCACTGCGCGAAAGGCAAAATTTAATCGTTTAACTTAAAATATGTGACAGATTGTACGGTAAATTTCCACTTTTACTCGTTCTATTTCGAATTTAATATTGTGAGAAGGAAAATATCCTCAGCTTGCGATGCTTTGTGGGATGGTGCCTTCCTTCAGTCTAAACCGCGCTCTGATTGGCTAAGATCAAACACGTGATCAACTGGCCGATTGTCTAGTAAGATAAGTGATAGAGCTCTTAAAATATCGCAAACTGGTAGCATTACGATCAAAAAGATATTACCAACTCCTTCAATGTACAGGTAGAGTTGGTCTAAACGGTCCAGGATCTCTCGTTCATCTTGGTTCTTTGAAGTGTATTCACGTCTCAGGAGGTGGGCATGGAGTACCAGGCGATGGCACGAAGCTTGTCATCCATGCTGGCTGCAACGAGAAGAGGTGAGCAATTAAGTTTAAAAGCTTTACATGTAAACAAACGAGCCATCCTCGGGAAACCAGGGGTAATCTTCTGTCGTTCGTTCATCGATATTTCAATGAGGATCACGGCTGTCAGAATGTAATTCAACCAACAACTTTGTTTCATAGTTTATTAAATTAACGTGACGTTTTACAGGATTTTTTCTTAGTGACAAATTAACAAACTTAACTCATTTTCGTTTTAGGCTTGAGTTTGCACTAGAGAATGGCATCTTAGTCCACAAAGGAAGCGGTAAATGCGTCGCGCCAATTGGAAGAATCTATGACGGCGCAAGACTTGGTTTATACAGTCATTGTTCAGCACATAAGTTTAGTTTCACGAAAGGAGGATCACTACAACACGTTGGTAGCAGAAAATGCATCAATGTCAAATCACTGGTAAGAATGACGTCATGTTTGTTGTGGTGTAGTGCATTATGGGTATTCCTCGTTTTCACGATACGTCACAGCGGCCATCTTGGAGGAACTTCAACAAAAGATTTCTTGTTAGTATCTATTGTTCATTCTCCAACATGGCCGCTGGTATTTTATCTTTTGAATCTCGTATGGGAATAGTTGAAAACGATCAATTGATAAATTTAAAGCAATATCGCGGATGCCTTGTAGAAACTATGCGGTTTACCAAGATTTTTTTACGAATTTAAATGTTTATATCCAAGTTGTTTAGAGTGCTATGGAAGAACATTAAATGAGATGGCTGAACACTAGTAGTGCAAGTACTTTGCGGAAAATGTCAAACGCGCTTCAAATTCAAGGAAAAAACGAACAAATGTTAGTTGTTAAAATATCAACTGTTGGAGATATATACGAATGCTACTCTGACAAAATCTAGTGAGGAGAATATCTGCGTATCCTTCTTCTAAGTTAAGATCTTATTGTCAGTCTTGTAGCACTATTTTTTGTGCAAACTATTTGCAATCCTGTATCTTCTTCACTGAATTGCTGAATTCTTTATTTCTCCTGCAGTCTGCAAAACCAGCAAATGGCGAGGATATCATTCTWCACAGYCACTGCGAGAATACTGACCAATCACTCGAGAAAGAAAGGCTACGATTTAACTTTATTCCAAGTAAGTTCGCTGTAAACTCCTCGCCTGCCCGCCTGCCTATCCTTGACATCCTCCTACCCGCCCGCCTGCTCGCCTGCCTGCCTATCTTTGACATCCTCCTGGCCGCCCGCCCGCTCGCGTGCCTGCCTTTCTTTGACATCCTCCTGCCCTCCCGCCTGCTCGCCTGCCTGCCTTTTTTTAGTCCTATACAGTAAGATGCATGGGCTTTGAGGCGATAATGGAGATCTCACGATACAATATGAGCGTATAGTTTCTTAATGCAATGTTTTATACTATAGCTGATCCATACGTCAGACTTGCTAAATGCACCGACTTTGGAAATCCACGACTCGACCAGCGCTTTGAGGTCGAAGATGAACCCATTGCAACAGTGTGCTCCAAGTATGCTAAAAGTAAGTTCAATAAATTTGAATTGTTAGGCAACTTGTACTTCATAGCAAGTGCTCTGTCCACTCTATTTTCATCTCTTTTCTAGATATTGCTTACAAGAAGAAGACTTATCAATCTAGCACGGCGTACAACGGGTACAGCGATCGCGCCGTCGATGAGAACTTCAACTCAGACTATAATCAAAAATCTTGTACGCACACGAAATCAGAGAACAATCCATGGTGGAAGGTCGATCTCGGCTCTGAACACATTGTTACAGGTATAACTTAATAAAAGAATATTCGGCAGTATAAGATATATTAATATACAGAACGCATTCAAGTCGTTAAAGCTTGTCCCCGTGATGATGTATAGTTAAGGCCCGCTAACAATTTTTGTTTGCGGCGATCGTCGCGCGACCATCACTTAAAGTTTCAAACATGCTTGAAAATTTGCTGCAACTTCGCGGAGATTTTCCATCGCCGCAACAATCGCATGGGTGTTTAAACGATTTTAGTTGTGCGATAGAAAAGTGGCGATTATCGGGCTGCAAAAATCGCAAGTGTAAACGGGCCTTTGGTGAACAACTGCGGTCGTTTGAACCATAGTTAACTATGTTTGAACGTGAGGTGAATGTCACATCAATCGGGTAAATGTTTATCCATCGGATACTGAAAATCCTTAAATAGTTAAAATTAGTGGATAACTTTATTCGGTGATTAACTTACAAGCGGTTCCTAGAAACAGAGGTTTTTGTTTTGCAATACAGTCAGCGTTTCGTACGGAACTAAGCACATGCTCAATGCATTGATAATTTTTATTCAGACGTCCTACTCGTCAACCGCTACAAAAACTTCGAAAGACTGAAGAACTTTGACGTCAAAGTTGGTATCCATAGCGACCCGTCAAAGAACCCAACTTGCAATGACAGAATAGGGTCTGTAGGTCAAGGTCAGGGCCTCCGTGTGCAATGCAATCCACCAATCCCAGGACGCTTCGTGGCAGTACAGATGTACGGCAAAGGAATCCTGACATTATGTGAAGTTTCGGTTTACTCTCGTCTAGGTAATGCTGATAGGGAAGAA